AGATTTATCACTTTCTTTTATTGATCAACCATCAGGTTTATCACTATAAGTTTTTGATACGTCACTTCATCTTTTCTTTAGATTTTGTACTGCAAATTGGTGTAAAAAATACATACATATTTACGTTAAAAATTAGATTTTACAATAGAAATCCGGCGCGTAGCGCCGGCGTACCTCTAGTTTATTTTAAAATTAAGATGCTTTATAATCAAAGATCCTTTTAGAAAATTTGGATAACTTATAATAAAAACTTTATATGTGACTTGGTTTTAATGTTGGTAAAAGAAAAGGTGGAGGCTATGTATTTTGATGATAATGTGTCTACATAGGATCTGACTTTGGCTCTAAAAGAACTTTCTGATGCACTTAAGGCGGAAGAAATATTTTGGAGGCAAAAGAGTAGAATTCTTTGATTAAAAGAAGGAGATACGAACTAATCTATCAAATTTGGATGAGGCTCTGGAAACATCTCTCCAACGATCACTGATGCTATAAACCATGATCTTATTGCCCCGGTCACATAACGGGAAACTGAACTTGCACTTTTTTGCGATGAATCCAGAGAAAGCAGATGGACCTAATGATATGAGTGCCTTATTCTACCAGAAGTTTTGAGATATTGTTAAGGACGACTTGACTCGTATGGTCAATGAATTCTTATTTGACGGTACCATTGTGCCAAGACTGAATGACACCAACTTCTGACTCATCCTGAAGAAAGATAAACTGGCAGAGATGGCACAGTTCAGACCCATAAGCTTGTGTAATGTGAGCTACAAAGTAGTCTCCAAGGTCTTATGCCAACGAGTGAAGAAGATATTGCTTGATCGTATATCTGAAACTCAATAAGTCTTTGCTGTGGGTAGATAAACTACAAACACTATAATGATCGCTCAAGAAATGTTCCATGCACTGAGAACAAAGCCTGGTGGACAACAAAAGAGTATGGAAATAAAAACATATATGAGAAAAGCTTATGACCGAACGGAGTGGATTTTTTATCGAAAGGGTTTTAGAGAAAATGGGCTTCTATAATACGTGGATAAATTGGCTAATCCAATGTGTATCATCTGTGAGGTACCAAGTCCTAATGAATGGTCAGCCTAGAGGACATATTGTCCCCGCGAGGGATCTGCGTCAAGGAGATCCTTTGTCTCTTTTCATCTTTATCTTATGCACGGAAGTGCTCATTAGCCTCCTAAATCATGCAGAAACTCATGGAAAGATAATGGGAATGCATGTTTCTCGCGGTATCCCCTCAGTATCTCACATGATATTTTCTGATGATATCATGTTCTTTTGTAAGGTGGAACCCCGTGAATGTGATGAAGTTATGAAAGTTGTTAAGGTCTACGGAAAAGCTTATGGCCAGTGCATTAATTTTGTAAATTCCTCGCTCCTCTTTGGGAAAAAGGTTCTGGAAATGTTAAACAAGAGATTAAGGATACCTTGTCAATTGATAATGAGGGAGGAATGAGTACCTATATGTGCATCCCAGTGGATATTAGTGGGTCAAAGTGCAAGATTTTTGCTTTTCTAAAGGATAGGCTTGATCATAGAATCAATGGGTGGTCGGCTCGTTGGCTTTCATGTGGAGGCAAGGAGATCCTAATAAAGGTCATTGCATTAGCATTACCATCTTATGTTATTTCTAGTTTCTTTCTCTCTTTGGAGATTTGTGATAAACTAGCGAGTGCGATAGCTAAATTCTGGTGGAGTTCAAATCCACCTAAACGTGGTATACATTAGGCAACATGGGATAAATTTTGTATTACAAAGAATGAAGGTGGTGTTGAATTGAGGCTAATACATGAATTTAACTTGGCTTTATTATCAAATCAACTTTGCAGATTGTCCCAATTCCCGGATTCTCTTTTTGTGAGAGTATGCATGGCATGTAATACTGTCTAAGCATGCCGCTACGGGTAATAGAGGCATCTGCCACATCTTACGTGTGGACAAGTTTGATGGCTGATAGACCTCTCTTAATGTTGGGAATTAACAGAAAGTCCACTCATGGTACCAAATACGTGTGTTGGAAGATCTGTGGATACCCTCTGTCCCGGCAAGACCGGCGTGAGCAAATAACATGATGGTTAATCTTCGACTATTAATTAGTGATCTGATTCATGGTTCTCTAAAAGAGTGGAATCTGGAGATGCTAGAGAACCTTATCATCCAGGAATATAAATAACTCATTAGGATTTTGGCTATAAGCCAATCCCATAGAGAAGACAAGTACATGTGGAGGTATACTCGAAATGGTATACTGTGAAATCAGGGTACTAGGTCGCAAAGAACATACTTAATAAAAAACCTAAGGAAATGGTAAAGGAATCAAACACAACTAGATTAAAGGCCTTTTCCTGGAAGATTTATGCTCCACAAAAGATCTGCCACCTTATTTGGTAGCTAGTGTCTGGCTACATAGTGGTTATACGAAATCTGACATGACGTCATATGTGATGTGATAACTATTGCCCCAGATGTGGTGAGCCTGATGAATCAGTTAACCATGATATCTTTGAATGTCCACTGGCATTGCAAACATGGGCCCTAGCACCGACACCATCGAGTCCGAGAATATTTCCAACAACGAGCATATTTACAAACTTGGACTACAAGTTTTGGAGGAAGAATGAGATTGAAGATCCCGCCCTAGATAAGGATCCTTATCCGCCGATTATCTGGTACCTATGGAAGGTGCAAAATGACAAACTCTTCAAAGGTATCTCAAGGGATCCGAACGAGTTAATTAAACACGCATTAAGTGAATGCAATATCTGGCTTGAAGCAAACACAAAACCCTCAGAGATGAATCAAGCAGCACATACAAATGTGAAAGTCCTAAGCCTGCAAAACATTTGTTTAATAGATGGATCCGGGAATCTGAAGTACAATGCAGTAAATATGATTGGGTCTGGAGGGACATATCAGGAAACAAGCAACTCTTAGGGCTAAAGAACAAAGAATTGTATGTCTTCTTTACGCACAGAAATAGAGGCATTACTTTGGGCGACCGAGAGCATGATTCAAAACACTGACTGCCAACAATTTGGGATGGATTGCAAAAAGGTTTTGTCAATGAGTCAGCACCCAAATGATTGGCCAAGTTTCTCCACAAAACTAGAAGAGTCTGGGTCATTGAAGGGAAGATTTCCACACTTTAAAATCTCCTACATTCCAAAAACGCAAAACATGACTGCAAATGGTTTAGCTATGACTGTTCGTAATTTTTATTGTTTGTTAACTTTTGTTGGTTTTCCTATTTCCGTCTGGATTCTCATATCACATCAAGCTTGAGTAATATAATGATCTTTTTGATGTTAAAAAAATGTTGGTAATTAACTATATTTATGTTTTGGTTGATCACTTCCAAAATAAAAGATTAATTATCATACAGTCTTCACCAAACAAGAAAAACTAATACGTTAAGTTACAAAATATTTTTATGTAAAAGATTAATATGATTTTCATGCATATATTTAAGTTTACTCACTATTTCTTTTATCTTAACACCATAATAAAGGATGTAGTATTCAAACAGAAAATTAATATATTTCTATAATTTTGAAAATCTTTGTTTTGCTAAATTTACAAAAAATACATATTAATATCTTTTTTGGTCAACACATATAAATATCTAAATTATGTATTTAAATTTCCCAAATTAATCTTTCTTTCCTCAGCCACATTATGAAAATAATGGAATTCTAATAGAGACGCTGTAGATGATTTCTTGCAAAAGAAATCATGGGGCTACGATAGTTTGTATTGAGATATAAAATCTATGACAGCACACAAAAGAATTCATGGACCTGCACTTATACAACCACTAGCACATTGACCAGAAAATAATCTAAAATGGAGAAAAAGAGAAAAAAATGGTATCTCTAAATTTTAAACCAATTTACCTCCAATGTTCAGGTTTGATTTTATTTGTCACGCTATAGATTTTTTTAGCATGATCACTGCAATACGATTCCTATCTCAAAACGAAAATTCAAAAAAAAAAGCTCTTGATGTATAGACGAAAGCATTTGCAAAATTCAGATTTAATCTGCATAAACTAACAACCTGCAATTCAAACAATACAAAGAAACCACATAAACTATAGCTAATCACCAGCTCATAATGCATAATGGCTGCAGAGATTGTTGGAGACCCAACAAAATTACTAAGACCTAACAAAATATCTGATTTAGCATAATGCAATCAAAATTCTCCTAAAAAGAAAACCTGAAACACTAGAAAAATATTGTATTGGTAAAAGAATAAACCAAATCAATGAATTTTGAATATTAATAAATGATATGCGTAAGATCCACAAACCACATTTCTCAAAATCTAAAATATAAAAATCCTCATTTAACCAACCAATATGTATTCAGATTGTCAATAACATCCACCCAAAAAATCACGTTAACCTCACCCAAATGATATAATATATGTATGCACCAAACTCTTAATAAAATCACAAGCATCAAAATCTAACTTAAATAATCTAAACATTAATAAACTATTCACGTCCATACATACTTAAAATATCAAAGTTATCATTTTTTTTTTGCTAAAGTTATCATATACTCTTCTTGCAAAAGACATACAATGAAAATACAGAATATATATTATACGACCACCAAATTCCGGGCGTATCCTAGTTTGTATATAAGGTTGACAATTTATGTAGGAAGCAAACAAAGCCGAAAGAAGATGATGACGTGTTTCCTCACCTATCAAATAACATTTAACATTATTGACAAATTATTAGTATTATTTTTTTGATCATGGAGTTGAGGGGAGAAATAAACGGTAACCAGTAGAGTCAGTTGAAAGCAAGGGTGTTTCTGTAACTCATAATTTCAATGCCCAGACAAAAGGGTATTGTGGTCAGAAGCGAGAAAAACGAACGACGAAGAAACTACAGGTCCACTGTCCAAGAAAAATATGCTTAAATATTTCAAAAATTAAAAAAAAATTAAAACGAGCGACCGACCGACCGATAAATAAAATAAAATAAAAAACAAAATTCTGAGAAAAGAGAAAACTTCTTCTTCGTGGCTTAACCATTTTCTTCTTTCTTCCCTTCCCTTCTGCTCCGTGTCACTGTTTGAATCTGATTGTCTCCGTTTCCCTTTTTCCCACGAATCAGATTCTTTATCCCGTTTTAGATTTTGAAATCGCAACGGGAAGCAATCTCGTATCTCTTCAAAATCTCCATCTCTGTCGTGTAGTGGCAATTCAGATTTTTCGATCGATTAAGGAAGCTACGGATTCGATTCTTGATTCAGATTTAATATTAATCCCACCGATTTGGCGAGAAAACGAGTAGGACATGGCGAAGCGTGGATATAAGCTGCGTATCCTTAATAGTCTTTTTTTTTTTTAAATGGCAGATTTTGTTGATTTTTAAGCTGAATAAACTATGGATTTTACCTCTATCTTGAGTTTTCTTTTTTAATATTTTAAACTCCAAAGAACACAACTGTAGTTTATGTTCGTTGATAAAATGCTATTTGATGAGCTTCAGTTTTTTATCAACATTTTAAGAATTATAATTATCTGCCTAACTAAATCTAGAGTAAGAGACTGCGAAATTGTTGTATTAACTGTGGTTTTGTCTTCTTAATATTACCTGGTTATGAAATGCTTTATGTTTTTCCTGTCAGGCTTGCTTCAAAAGGCTGTTCCTTTTCTTGATATGTTCTTGTGTAGAGTTTTGTTTTAAACCTTGACTTTGATTTGGATTTCTTAGAGGAGTTTTTGGCACATTCTGCAAATGTAAATTGCCTGAGTATCGGAAAGAAGACATCACGGCTTCTTATAACTGGCGGTGATGATTACAAGGTTAACCTTTGGGCCATCGGAAAGCCTACTTCTTTAATGGTAACTTTTCTCTCTTCTCTAACATTTGTTGTCTCTCCTTTTATACTCCTCCAGCTGAACATATCAAAATAATGATATGTGTCTTGTTTGCAGAGTTTATGTGGACATACTAGTGAAGTGGATTCAGTAGCTTTTGACTCGGCTGAAGTTTTGGTGCTTGCTGGAGCTTCTTCGGGTCTGATAAAGCTGTGGGATTTAGAAGAAGCAAAGAGTTAGTTGGTTACTTTTCTGCTTCTCCTTTAAGAATATTTTGTTACTCCTTATATGGCTAGCGCTAGTTCAGTTGAATGGGAACATATAAGATATCGATTGAGTTATTCTCAATGTGGGTTATGGATCATGAGTCACCTCACCTTTGAGCATTGTACGAGACTGTGCCTATAGTTTAGTTTAGAATAACGAGGTCTAACATTTTCACTCTTTCTTTTTAAGTGTAGTGGTTCGAGCTTTTACTGGACATAGATCTAGTTGTTCTGCTGTTGAATTTCATCCCTTTGGTGAATTTTTGGCATCCGGATCAAGTGACACGAATTTGAAGATTTGGGACAACAGAAAGAAGGGATGCATACAGACGTACAAGGGTCATACTCGTGGCATCAACACTATCAAATTTAGTCCTGATGGTCGTTGGGTAGTGACAGGAGGACTTGACAATGCTGTAAAGGTAATAACTGCCTTTTTGATCTTGTGCTTTGTCTTTTTTCTCGGACCAGTGTTGTTTTAACAATATACTATTAATCGTATCCTATAGGTATGGGATTTGACTGCTGGAAAGATTATACATGATTTTAAGTTTCATGAAGGATCTATCCGTTCGCTAGACTTCCACCCACTTGAGTTCCTCTTAGCCACTGGTTAGTCTGGATTCTTCAGTTTTAGGCAATTTGTGGTAATTTGGTGGCAGCTTTCGGTTAGGCATCCTTCTCTGTTCACAAGTTTTATATTGAGGTCTTCTGATGTCATTTATTCAGGTTCTGCTGACAGGACAGTAAAGTTTTGGGATTTAGAAACGTTTGAATTGATTGGATCTACCCGACCAGAGGTAAATAACCTATTATGAGAGTTTTAATGTCACTAAAGACTGTTTTCCAAGATAATCTATCTCAAAGTTTCTTTGTCTTGGAATTCTATTACAAACGATCTCTGCATGTACTTTTATTTGTTTGATAGGATACTGGAGTTCGTTCAATCAAATTTCATCCAGATGGGCGAACCCTCTTCTGTGGTTTGGATGATGGCTTAAAGGTTTTGATTTGTCTTAGTTTTTAAAGAGCTATGCCATATTTAGAGATCTCAAGAGTTGATAGATTGATAGTTGATGCTCATTAATTCAGGTTTACTCATGGGAGCCAGTGGTTTGTCATGATAGTGTTGATATGGGATGGTCAACGCTTGGTGACTTATGCATCAGCGAAGGGAAGCTCATGGGCTGTTCATACTACCAAAATTCCGTAGGGATTTGGGTCTCAGATATATCAGTATGTCAGCTGTTGTGATTCCCTATTCCTTTCGAAAGTTATGTGAAGCTGAAGACTAAATTTTCAAAAGCTCACTCTCTTTTTCTTTTGTCCTTAATTGTAAGCAGCAGATTGAACCATATGGCATTAGATCTGCGGATAAAAAGGAATGCGTGGAGAAAGTACTCAGTGTTCTGGACGATCAGTCTTCCGAAAGAGGACGGAGTGGCCCCAGGCGCAGCTCATCTCCAGATTATGATACAAAAGAGATCAAAAACATATACATCGACTGTGAGTGAATATTAACTTTCTTTCTTATAATGAAAGCCTAAAATTAACCTGCCATACATTACTTGAAAGGACAAACTTCAATCACATTCTGAATTAGGAAAGCCTTGTACGCTTCTTACAACTTGCTGTCGTGCTACCACTCGAATCAGTATTAAAATGCTTATTTGCAATTGAAAGTTAACCGAGATCAATAACTCCATTTTACCTGTTCTAGTGATAGAAAGCTATTCATTTATTTTCCCGCATGTGTTTATTCATAGCCATAACTATTGTGGGCTGGATTGTGATTTTCAGTCTTTAGTGTGAGCTCGTGTGCTGTATCAGCGTAATTATGTACGCCTCTCACTTCTGTATGCTTATGATTTGATTTGGTCTAATATTCTCTTTTTTCTTCAAAGCCACAGGTGGAAATTCAACTGTTGCAGATAAGCCAGAATCACTAAGTACTTCTAAAGTCAATGCAACATCTACTGGACAAGCTGGGAATAAGTCTTTCGTAGTGCATAGTGATGCTGGGAAAGACTCTTCTGATTCAGGAAGGGAATCTATCACTTTCTCAAAAACGAAGCCAGGCATGCTACTGAGACCAGCTCATGTAAGAAAAACGCCAACAAAGCAGTCAGTGGCTGTTCAATCTAATACTCCGAAACAGAGCGGATCGGACGGTGAGAAAACGCTGGATACTAAGACTGTTCTTGATTCAGAAGAGAGTGGTAGAAAACCATTTGATGCCAGTGATTCCATCATCAAGAGTATAACCAGCAAGTTTGAAAAAGCTTTGTTTCCAGAATCATCAACTGATGAAGCGAAATGTAAGTTCTCCCAGTGTACACTTCAGTTTCACCAGATTTGAGCTTTCAGATGGTATAATCCTATCTTATTGGAATCTCTTACAATTTTGTCTCAGCTATGCTACCGAAACCGCCTCGCGTGCAGAGATCACCAAATACTAAGTACAATGAGACAAGATGGGCGGTGTCTGTTGATTCTGAAACTTTAGACAGCAAACAAAGTGGTTTAGAGAAATCGGGAGACACAGACTTGCCAAAAGAGCTTGCGGATGACAGAGGTTGTAACCCGACTGAGGAGGATGCCAATGATAAGATCATTTTAAGCAAGCCAGAACGAGTTCTATCACCAGAGAAAGCTGATGATGAACAGAAAAGTAAGTACTTAATTACGTAATTGTTAATGCGACCTGACTAATTAATGTGCATTTCCACTTGTGGGCTCAAACATTTATGGAACTGTGATGTGTTAGGCTTCTACTTGTCTTCGCAATCTGTTCAATACGAGTGAGTTGCTAGATAAAAGACAGCATACAAGACAAATGAAAATCAATCTGAAAGAGCGACTTTTGGTTTGATGTTACTAAGAATGTACTCCTAATTCCTAAATCCTGGAAAAAGATGAATAAGGCCGCATAGAAGTAATAGCATTAGCTTATAGGTTGCTAGATCTCAATTTATGCCACTTTTAGAACTGAATTGCTTCACAGTTTTCTTTATTGGTTGGGTCAAGTTACTTGTTTTAAGGCTTCCAACAGTTTGCAAGTGGTTGATATAAATACTGTCATGTAGGCACTGAGACCCCTGGAGGTAGCAACGAATCAGACTCCGTGAAGGTTGTTAGAGGAGGTTAGCCATTTAAAGTTTTCTCTCTTTTGTTTTCTTTGTTTATATATAAGTCATCTGGTTATTGATTTATTGAGAACTGCTACGTTTCCAGTAAAAGTTGTTTCCGGGAGGACACGGTCATTGGTTGAGAGGTTTGAGAGAAGAGAAACAATTACTCCTTCGGAAGAAGATAAAGCAGCCAGCGCAGCAACAGTTCAGAGCACTAATGCAGTGGAGGAAGAGGCCAAATCAGCATCGTTACCAGGAGTTAGCACGACGCCTACACAGGTTATGCCAGTTAAACTTGATGAGGCAACTAACTTGACCCCAGTTGAAGCTCCTGCGGTATCAACACGACGACCTAGGAATATTCCAGCCAGAGTAATGCCTGTGGTTCTTGGTCGGGACGAAAACATGACAACTGATGCACCTTCTGTAACATTAACACGACCTGATAGGAGTTCGGCTGCTAATTTGACATCTGATGAGTCTCCTGTAACATCAACACGACAAGCTAGGCCTTCTCCAGCCCCGGTTTTGCCTGTGGTACCCAATCAGACAACAAAAATGACATCTGATGACCCTCCTGTATCATCAACACGGTCTGATAGGAGTTCGTCTGCTAATTCGGCATCTGATGAGTCTCCTGTAACATCAACACGACAAGGGACTCCTCCAGCCTCAGTTACGCCTCTGATACTCAATCGGAGTCGGTCAACTAACATGAAACCCGATGAGCCTCATGTAATAACAAGAAGACCACTGAGGAGTTCTTCTGCGAGGAGTTCTTCAGCGCGTGTAAGGCCTGTGATGCTCAATCAAACAACTAACACGCATTATGAGCGTCCTGTACAATCAACACGATCAGCTAGGACTTCACCAGCCCGTGTAATACCTATGCAACACAGTCAAGCAGATGATATCCCGTCTTATGAGCCTCCAGTTGCAGTAACACGGTCAGCTAGGAACTCGCCTGTTCGTGTAATTCCTGCTAAAATCGATCAAGCAAATAATGTGACATCGGATGCATCACAGAGATCCAGGCACCGGTTTAGCCCAGCTCAAACGTTGGAAACACCTGCGGTTATTGATCAGGTGGCTGATATGACACTGGATGAGGCAGATATAACACAAACTCAACCAGATTATGATATCTCGACCCAGGTAAAGTTCAAATGATAATTTTTGTGGACTGATAGATATATGACTTTCCCCATCTTTGAAATGTATCTTGCTCAATAATCAATGATGAATCTCTTAGTCTCTGATGTTACAAAAAAAATTATATGACATTTCAAGGATGACAAAGATGGAAGAGATCTGTAAACATAACAAGTATTTGATTTGTTTGGCTTGTGCAGAAGGAAGAGCCTCAAATATCTGGGAGGGAGAATGAAGATGACCTCAGTGAGACAGTAATGCAAACTCATAATGAGGTCTTAAACACTCTTCAATCTAGGTTGACAAAATTACAGGTAAATTTTGCTCCACTGTTCTCTTTGTGTCTTGTTCTCTTTAAGTCTATTTACGTTGTTGATATATCACAAACGTGCAGATTGTAAGACATTTTTGGGAGCGTAGCGATATTAAAGGCGCAATCATGGCCTTAAAAAAGCTGTCAGATCACTCGGTATGTATCCCAGTAGATTACTTTTGCCTATCCTAAAATGCTTAAATGTCTAGAAAATCTGACTCGCATAAACTGGAACAGGTTCAAGCAGATGTGATCAGTATTCTAACAGATAAACCAGAGATTCTTACGCTGGATCTGTTTTCGCTATTAGCACCTGTCCTCACAGGCTTATTGGGGAGCAGGACTGAAAGGTAAATTATCTGATTCTCTTTGTCCTTGGACTACGGTTTACTTTGAGTTTCAAATATAAATTAATTTTAAGAAAGAAGCAATAATGTCGCTGCTGTTTCAATTTTTTATAGGCTTGTAAGTGTCTCCTTGGAAATGCTCTTGAAGCTAGTAGCTGTGTTTGGTACTGTGGTACAATCAACTGTTTCAGCAAGACGATGTGTTGGCGTTGATCTTCATGCAGAAGAAAGGTAAGTTCCGCTTCTCAATTTTCATGCCATACCTTCTCTGACACATTCTCTTTTATCGGAAAGTAAAAAAAGATTTGAGAAAATGCAGGTTACAGATCTGCCAAAGTTGTTCTGCGGAGTTGCAAAAGGTTCAAAAGATCCTTCCACTACTCACCAGGTACAAAAAAACATTTAAAACTGAATCATCAGTGTCAAGTTTTAACGATGGAGAGTATTGCAGCTGTTGTTCGGTATTTGCTTTGGTTATCTGATTACGTTCCCTTTTGTTGTCTTTCTTTCTATCTGATTACAGAAGAGGAGGTCTCATAGCAAGAAAGGCTCAAGAACTAAACTTAGTTCTTCAGACACCTTAACTCCAGGTTCATATTCAAGACCACTCATTATCACTTGCAAACTCTGTCCATCTCCAATCTGTATATTATCAAGAACAGTCTCCATGTTCCTTCCGGCGATTTGGCATCTGTTGCTTTAAAGATTCCCTGAGAAGTCACAGTTTCTTGTGCCGGATCTTTTGCGATAGAATCGCCCGGGAATTCACGGAAAACACTTCTTCAAAAATTCGGTATATGCTGTTGATCTGTATCTTAGATTAAAGTTGTAATGCTTCAGTTTCTTTATTCAGTAATTCACAAGTGTTTAGCTACATTCTCTCTATCTCCATGTGAATGGAATGTGCAATCTAATGAGAAGGTACATGAATTTTTTACATCTGGCAATCTACTTTAGGTTTGAATGGTTCAAGTATTTAAGGAATGTACTTAATATTTTGGAATGGTCATGTGGAAGTGTTTTCATGTGGAAGTTAAGTAAATAGACTAATCAAGTATTTGTCATCTACCAAATGTGACGATGACATGTCTTATATAGTTAGTACTTACTAGTATTATGATAATAGAATTGTTATGGAATATACTTTAGTATGTCTTCCGAGAACTAGGAAAGATAATAACGAATGTTGAAGGAACTTCTTCGCAAAGTAACAAGACAGAAACCAACCAAGCAATTTAGGATCTCAATTGATATTTTGTATAATTAAATTTACCCAATTTAAGTTCAGAGAAAAAAATGTGACATGAACAGAAAACTTTGATAAAATCTATTTCTGAATTATTAAATGTAATGAATATTTTTAGTCAAAATTAACTATTATTTAAGGGGAAAAAACAAATTAGTGTTTGGGAGAATAGGAGATAAATATTCTACAAGCTGTGGTAATGACGAAAAAACGAATAAATAAAGGAAAGATAGAAAAATTCTGTTAAATAAATTACTTTATTTAGAGGAAAGAAAAAAGAAAACAAATACAGTCCAAGTCTTTGTTCAAAACAAACCATCCTCTCTGCCTTTTGAACAAGAAAAAAAAAACAAAACCAATCAATTTTCCGTTTACAAACGCGGAGCAGAGACAGACACAGAGTCCTCGTCAACCCCTTCTCTCCCGCCTCAGATTTTATTTATTTTCCTAATTTTCTAATTTTGAATTTAATTTCATTATTCCCCCAATATCTTGTCGGAAAACCGTTTTCGTGTAATAACCTCCGACACAAAGCCGCTGGAGACGGCTTTTTTTGGTGTCAATTTCCTTTGTCTTTTTTTCTTGAGTTGTCTCTATCTCTGTTTTTCTTTTTTTTTTTTGCTTTTCGTAAGAAATTGTTAAACGCACTAACGTGCGCCGCGCGTAGTTTAATTCGTTTAAAGATATTTTTTCAAAATCGAGAAGCGCGTAACGCACACGCGGAAGTGATTTGATCTTTTTGGATGGTTATGATGATGTTGACGAAGACGACGAAGATGGCGAGTGATTGGGGAACATGGGAAGAGCTTCTTCTCGGTGGCGCAGTTCTCCGTCATGGAACCGGCGACTGGACAGTCGTCTCCGAAGAACTCCGTTCTCATTCTATGTCGGGGATTTTCACACCTGAGGTTTGGTCTCTTTAATTTCAAAAAATTAGATGATACCAATGTCAGGATGAGAACAAAAAAAATCTTTAAATAAACGAAAGAAACAGTGTTGTTGTTGGATTTAGAAGCATAGATTCATCACTTGTGTCTCAAGAAAGGTTTAATCTCAAAGTTAAAAAAAAAGATTTATTTTTCTTGTTAGACAACTGTATATACTCTCCTCTGCTTCTTAGTTTTGAACTGAAACATAACCACATTGATATGTCCAAGTTTGCATAATAGTTTTTATCTTGCTAAATCCTAATTTTGTTGCAGATATGTCAAGCCAAGTACAAGGACTTGCGAGAACGTTATTTGGGATGCAAGTAATGATTTGTTTTTGTCTTTCTTGCTTGCCCTGATTACCAGACTCTTGTGACAGCAATTTACTTTCATTTTTTCTTCTTATCATATGTTGGTCGTTTCTTTTAGATCTTGGTTTGAAGAGCTTAAAAAGAAGCGAGTAGCTGAGCTTAAGGCAGCTTTACTTAAATCCGAAGACTCCATTGGGTTAGCACTTGTCTTAAATGGTTTTTGTATCTTAACAGAATCAGAATGTTCAATAGTCTGTGCTATAATATTCTTTTTTTTTTAGGTCGTTGGAAACAAAGCTTCAGAGTCTGAAATCGGAAAGCGGCAATGAAGAATATCATCAAAATGATTATGATTCAAGCAGAACATTATCACTCGAACCACCATCCCCAAAATCTGAAGGCGGAGGAGAATGCACAAGCAAAGATACATCCAAAGAGTTGTCATCAGTTGGTAGTTTCACACAGCAAGAACTGACCACTACAAACTGGTCACCACAAGCCAAGTCAGAAGCAGTAAGAGAGCAAGACAAAAAGAAGGGTCTATTACATGGCGACATATTTGAGTCTATGTACGGAGTAGCAGGAGGACAAGTGCTTCCGAGCATGAGAAAGAAACGAGGCAAGAGAAAACGAAAAGACTGCAGCGCCAGTAAAGATGTTAGCGCTGTAGAGGAAAGTGATATGTTGGACTCTTCTACCATGGATATTGCTAGCAATTCTAAGAGTAAAGAAGCTGCTTCTACTAGCAGCAACAGTCATACCCGAGGCCACGGTTTGGCTTTACCCGAAGAGCTTATGAAGATATATAATACCATCTCACAGAAAGAATGTGCTCTTGTCTTCCGGAGACGACTTGATAGTCAGGTTGATAAATCATATAATGACAGTTTTCGATAGAGTCTATTTTTATCTTCTTAACGTCTTGTGTTTGATTGTAATCAACAGAAGAGGGCTAGATACAAGAAACTGGTCAGGAGGCATATGGATTTAGACACTATAAAAGCAAGAATCAACGGTCGTTCGATATCTTCAGCTAAAGAGGTGTTCATGGACTTTCTTCTGGTGGCAAACAATGCAGCTACTTTTTACTCTAAGAACACTCGTGAGCACAAATCAGCTGTATGTCTTAGAGACATTGTCACCAAGTCTCTAAGACACTATTTGACAGAAGACCATCCTACTCCTCCTTATCGCAGCGGCATCCTTAGTACAAGCACAAAGGTTTCAGTTCCCTCTCCAATATCTAAATCTCCTTCTGTCCGAACCAGCGTGGCAGTTAAAAGACCAAGAACCGGGGTGCACCCTCTTAAAAAGGTTGACCATGAGGATATGGCGAAGACGACTTCAAGTGGTGGTAAAAAAAGGAGGATTGTTACGGATTCACCAGTTGCTGCTGTGAAGTTGTCAGCGGCGGGTAAGAAAGAAATGGCCGTAGAAGAGAAGAGAAGAAGAGGAAGAGATGGTAATAAACAAGTGAATCGTGGACTTGTTGATTCTCCTGCATTGGTAGGGAGAAAGCGGAATAGGGTGAGATGAGTTTGCTCGTTTTGAAGTGTTTGTTTCTTCATATGTTTCTTGGTTGGTTAGGCAGAGAAAAGCCTTTACTTGATCATCTTAGTTTTATATTTGGGTCAATTTGATCTGCAGGCATAGAACACTGGGGAAATTAACTGTTTATAAAAGATGTACATCCCTTATTCTTATCGTTAAATTGTTAGAGAAAGAAAAACAATTAGGAACAATATTTGTGTACCGATCCTAAAAGCATACTAGTCAAATACAATTTCATAAATATGGCTGATAACTGCAAGGTTAAAGAAGTAATATCGTCTAGGAATTTGATGTCTTGTGCTGGCTGGCATGATTGAATCTAGATCCAATGTCGTCTCAACAGAAGCTCCAAAAATGATGAATGGTTTCAGCTCTTTCCCCCATTAATTAGTTTGGAAAATATATGGCTATGTGGCGTCTAACCACCGACCTATTCTTTATCCTTCGTTCTGGAAAAAGCGGGTGGTAGTAGAGGTTGATTTTACTTTGATAAAAGAATGAATGAAAAGAAGAAATAGAACGTGCAATAAAAAGAGGTTGGTAAGGCTCAGCAGACACTGAGAATATCTCTCTACTTGATCGCTTAGCTCAATTCTTTTTTTTTTTGTCCATGAATCATTCATTCAAGAGAAACAAGTCAAACGACTTGAGAATTCTATGACAGAGAACTAGAAATGTAGAAATCAACATCAATAAATATCATTAAGAACCAAACTTCAAGCAGAAGAGGGTAGGAAGGCAAGAACCTCCATCATCCAAGCCTCGTCTAGTCATCTGGAGAGGACTAACTGGAACCTGGCTGCACCGCTTCAGCAGAAATAAAATATGATAGCCAACTAGGACCACCCCTGGCCATGTAAGATTGAAATCTTCGATCTTTGGTGACACTTACCGCTACTTGCACAGCTATCGCATTGCATTAGCCCTAACATGAACAGCTATATGTTGATGTAAAAGGGACACCAACAAAGGTCTGCAGAAAGTAAACCAAGAGACAAATACTACAAGCAAACACTTATGCTTTATTAGAATCTCTTTTAAACAATTTATTACAAGATCTGCTTAATTCAGCTTTTACATGTCTAGTGTTAATACCCTAACACACGCTACTGAAATATTCCTAAGCTACACCGCTAATGTCTCTCCTCTATCAAGTACTCCAGCCACTACTTCAGCACGACCCAAGAACACTTCCAAGAGCTTTTCTCTCTCACTATAAGATTAGTCTCTGTGTCTCTATCTCTCTACAGACGACCCCATAGCTATCTTATAGTTATTCTCCACGTTCCCGAAACCCTAGTCTCCAAGGAACACAATATGGACATCTTCCATATCCATAAGTGCAACTTTCCTTTTCTTGAAATGCACTTATTCCTCTTTTCTTAAGTCATAAACTTGCTCTTCAAGTTTATTCCTTTTTCCATATTTCCAAGATACTCTCTTGCTCTCCAAGTCTACACGACTCCCTCAGCATCTTGACTCCACATGGTCTTCACCACTCAACACGACGTCTGCTTCAGCAACTACGTCATCAACTACTTCAGGGCAGATATCTTTCATCTTCAATCTCCTCCTTTTAGCTTTGTGTGCTGATCAAGCAAAACCTTCTTTTGGTTCAACAATCACATTTCTCCCCCACGAAATATGCACCACACCATGCTTTCTCATGCTTTTCTCATGCTTTTCTCCCCCATGAGATATGCATTCTCTTCCTCAGGACGTTCATACCAAATATGCTTCTCCCCCATAAGATATGCATTCTTTGGACCAGAGCATCACTTCTCCCCCTGCTTGATTGCATACTAAGCTAAAACACAGATGCTTAGATGTCAAGCCTTCCATCACGATCTGATGCACCTGTCGAGCTACCTCTCGACTCACTTCTGTTGAGGATCTGGCTTCCTTCATGTGTCGTATTCTTGACCATGAGCCCCACCTCATCCACACCGAGTGCACTCTGCACTCGTTGACATTGTCTTGGAGTGATTTCACTATCACCCTCCTGAAGATCATCTCGCATCACTTCTTGACGCACTTTGATCTCCTTCCCTTTTGTGACACTAACAACCTTCTGTCCAGGCTCCAGACTTGAAGCTTCTTGATCTTCGTCAAGATCACTCCTAACAGAGTTTCATCCTTCTTTTGATGTCTCATCCCTAATCTTATCAAGTAAGCCACTCTTGGCTAAGAACACCTCTTCAACCCTCTTGGGTTTCATGAACGTCTTGTTCACCTTCTTGGCCATGTTTCTGCTCTTCTCACGAGCAAAACACTCCACCTTCTTGTGTCCAACCTTCCCACAAAACCAACAACACATCCTATGTTGCTTTTTCTTGGGCCTGGCATAGTTGCTGATGCACCGATCAGTCTCCTTCCTTGTACCAGATGCACAACCATGCTTCAGAACCTTCTGTCTGACCTTCATGTTGCTGCATTGATGTATCACTTTCGGCTTGTTACTCACAGCCACGCCATGTAGAACTTCCTGATGTACTCTCTGCCGCATGTCCCGACGTACTTCCAGATAAGCGTTTTTAACCCTACTTTTTGATGTGCCCCTTTGGTCAATCAACTTGAAACAGTTACGTCGAACATGTCCTTGAATTCCACAAGAATAACATGTTGGACCATGAGTCCTCATATCATATACTCTCTCAATCTGATGCTTTTTCCTCAATAGCCTAAAACACTTTGGCCTAATATGTCCAATAACTCCACAATGATGACACACAGGTATGAAAGGTCGCTGAGATACATTCTTTACCTCTGAAATTTTCCTTGTAGCAGACGATGAAGCAATTCTTGATGTAGTTGCAGTCTTCACTACAGTCTTTCTATATGAAGTATTCTTTGCATACGTCTTAACTACTGGCTTCATTGCAGACATTGAACCACTCTCTGTTTTTCCTTTTTGAGGTTCACCAGGTTTAGCACAAGCTTTTCTTGTTTCTTCTTTTCCTACTTGTAAGTCCTTCTTCAATAAGTCATTCAAGACGTCTCTGCTCCTTCACTAACACCATATTCTCTTTTCCAAGCTTTACTAACATTCCACACACCTGTTCGTCGCACTCTTTGAGATCATCATCGTGTCCTTCATCATATTCTTCCTCCTCTGATTCAGAATCTGATTTAGATGATATACTTGCTTCAACTTTGTGTGCACCAAAAGCAACTAAGTTGAGAACTTCGTCTTTTTCTGATTCATTATCATCTGTCCTTAAGAATGATCTAGCTTTCTTCTGCATCTCATCGTGGTCCAGTTTTTCTCCACCTAAAACCTTTGAATGTTGTTTTCTTGGCCCATGGACACTCCCTTTTGAAATGTACATATCCTCTGTATTTATAACATTTCACCTCTTTATTACTGCATGGCTCGCCAACTTCTTGCTTTTATTTTCTCATAGCAACTATCTCATGTCCTTGCCACTGTATCACTTCCCGTAGTACTTGGTGAAGCACGCGAATCATCTTAGCCATCTCCTCTTCATTCTCTGATTTTTGACTTGTAGCTTTAACATCTGCCAGATTGACTTCAGTATGATTGCCCACGCCATGAAGCTCCATCTCATGAGCTTTTAACATACCCACAACTTCATGAAAGCTGAATTTATCTATGTCAAGAGACACAAACATTGCTGCCTTATAAGCTGTAAATCTTTCTCGTAGACATCTTAAAAACTTCTTCACCAATTTCTTGTCCTTGAATTCCATGCCCAGAACACGAGCCTTTTGTGCTAATGCACTGAGTTGAGAACTAAAATCTGATACAGATTCATGTTCTTCCATCTTCAAATTCTCAAATTTTGATTTAAAAAATCCATCCTTAAACTCTTAACCTTTTCAGTTCCTTCAAAGTGTAGTTGCAGAATATCCCACGCCTCTTTTGCATTCTTGCAGCCTTGAATCAGATCGAGTTGATTCTTTTCAACTGATGTAAATATACCACATAAAGCTTTTGCATTATACTTTGACATCTCCTTCTCACGCTTTGTCCACTTAGCCAATGGTTTGTTGACCACAATACCATCTTTATCTACTGTTTTGGGAACTTCATAGCCATCTTCCACTGATGCCCAAACGTCCATATCAATACTTTGTAAGCTTGCCTTCATCTTCCCTTTCCAGTGTCCATATTGTTCAGGTTCAAGCATAAACTCAGTCACCATGCTTTCTGCTGTACTTTATCTTCCCTTCTTTTCTCTTGCCTTTGGGATCTTCACCAGTGACTTAGGTGACCCGCTCTGATACCAATTGTTGATGTAAAAGGGACACCACAAAGGTACTGCAGAAAGTAAACCAAGAGACAAATACTACAAGCAAATACTTATGCTTTATTAGAATCTCTTTTAAACAATCTATTACAAGATCTGCTTAATTCAGCTTTTACACGTCTAGTGTTAACACCCTACACACGCTACTGAAAGATTCCTAAGCTACACCGCTTATGTCTCTCCTCCGTCAAGTACTTCAGCCACTGCTTCAGCACGACCCAAGAACACTTCCAAGAGCTTTTCTCTCTCACTATAAGATTAGTCTCTGTGTCTCTATCTCTCTACAGACGACCCCATAGCTATCTTATAATTATTCTCCATGTTCCCAAAACCCCAGTCTCCAAGGAACACAATATGGACATCTTCCATATCCATAAGTGCAACTTTCCTTTTCTTGAAATGCACCTATTCCTCTTTTCTTAAGTCATAAACTTGCTCTTCAAGTTTATTCATTTTTCCATATTTCCAAGATACTCTCTTTCTCTCCAAGTCTACACGACTCCAGCTCAGCATCTTGACTCCACATGGTCTTTACCACTCAACACGACGTCTGCTTCAGCAACTACGTCATCAACTACTTCAGGGCAGACATCTTACATCTTCACTATCACTTGATATTGATCAAAAGAGTTCAAAGATCTCATGATCCTCGAAATGCCTAGTGCTAGATGAGGGTAAGACGTAGAGGAGAAAAGAGCCTCCAAAACAAGATTTGACGATACCTCCAGGATCACTCTCTTCACATGAATGTCATGAAGTGCTTGTATTACCCACCAGAATGTATGTAGCTCAGCTTCTAGGGCAGCGGTTGTAGGAGAAAAGGTCCGCCTACTGTGGAACAAAGGAATACCAGCACAATCTCTTACTATCCAAGCGGATCCGAAGTTTTGCGCAGGGCCAATCCAGGAAGATGCTACATTACATTTTAAGGTCTCCATGAAGTTTCGACCAACGTGGGTTGGAAAAAGTGTCCAAC